CACCCTCCAAAAAGTACTGCAGGGCCTCTCAAAATTGCACCATCAGTAGCCCGGTTGGGTATCAGGTTCTCCGTTATAGCCTATACTACATTTAACTACTTCTTGTGCTCCACTGTGTATGCAAGAGACCATATTGATTTGCACCATTCCATTCCATCCATCCATCCATCCATCCATCCACCTACCCCTCCCTTATTCCGTCCAAACGAAGTAAAACAATATTTCGCAGACCGTATCCAAAGTTGACCAACAATATATTGCAGGCTTCACTAGATTCATCCTTAAATGCGAGACTGACCGACCTTGTATTTTAGCTTAACTGAACCAAAGGGCCAGGAGTTGTGTAAATAGTTCCATTAGAAGAAGTTGTATTGTAAATAAGAGTTATTCTAGACAAAGTTTTCGTAGATGTAGTTGTAGAGTTGCTGTGTGATATGGTGGTGCAAGACGGCGTGAAGGCAGTACCCCTACAGCAGCTATCGGTGTATACCAGCTGGTGATGACGCACCTACTGATTTTAACACCTGCTGCGGTGCTGGCGTTCTTATCGTGTTTGTTGACATGCCGGTTGATATCGCTTTTAATGATAATCACCGTTGGTGTGACTATAACGAAATGATATTGTGCCGACTACAGAGAACTGTGGAAGGTCGCTTAATAGTTACTGATTATCCCCTTCATTGGAGATATCCTGAAGGGGGTTGTGGTCCTGCTGTAGCCAGTGTTGAGGGTTGCCTGCTGGGGCTCTGACATAGTAACAAACCGGTAGGAACGGATCTCTCTGTAACACCACACTTGTATAGGGAGTTTGACACACGGACGTTATCTAAGTCATAGGATACGACGCTAAGACGTTAAGTAGCGAACCGACCAAATATGCTCCAACGAACTAAACATGCTCTAGCGACCAAACATGCTCCAGCGAACTGTAGGTCATGTAACACCCAGGATATGTTGTGTTGAGGGAAGGTTATTTCGTTGCTTTAACTGTTAACTCCAGTAGATAATGAGCTTTGACTTCTTGCTCACTGAAGTCTCCTTACTGGTAAACGAAGACTCAAAACACCAACAAGTTATCACTAATCCACCTAACGCTCTTCTGGATGACCAAGTACTGGTTTGATCCTCCTAGAAATTATTTATCGAACAATAAAAGTAAAATGAAACAAAGGAAACATTGAAAGATAAAGAAACGTGAACAAAAGTGAGTGTAAACGTTACAAGTGAAAGGCTGAAATGAAATCTGTTACACAATTATTAACCTTTCACAAATATACAGTAGAAATACATCCATGATTATTAGTCCTGTTTATGTTTTTAAAATTCGACTTTATTTGTTTGGTGTAGCTGTGTCAAGTTGTTGATTTGTCAGTTTGTAATAGTAGGCCAGGGTCCTCATAGGTAATACTCACGTAATGTTACGATCATCAGTCAATAATGTTACTCGGTCAAGCGTGAGTTGAAAGTGTGGAGTTTTTTATTGACGCTGCGGTTCATTTCAGGTGATAAAATTTAATAGGTTATAATAATAGGAACTGTATTGTGAATATGACAATTTTAAGCTTATTAATTAAGTACCACCTAGTCTTACCTTCCTTTGTAACTGTGACAATTCATGGCAGATCGTTGTTGGTGTTATATTGACAAATTCTGGGTGAGTTTATCGTTTCTGAGTTTAACCCCCTGAGGCGGTACAGCTGGTGAGTGCCCACAAAGGCTCCTGCAGGTCAACATATTCATCTGACAGTGAGACACGATCTTATCATTACTCCTGTCATTCACGGTTTACTGTGAGTAAGAGACACCTGTCATGGGGCTTTATAGTGATACTGAAAATTGCAGATGAAAGAAAAATGATAGGAAATTTATTTTCTGTTGGCTTTCACGACTCACGTGTAATGTTGAAACTTGGAGAAAAATATTATGTTTTGAAAAGTTCCTGAAGTGATAAATTGGTGTATTGATAATGATAATTATTATGAAATATTGTTAGAATAAAAAACTATGATATTAATCTGTGAAAAACCCCAGCTGCCCAATTACACACACACACACACACACACACACACACACACACACAAAAGAATGTCTGGTGCTTTGAGGTATTTCCAGGACTGCGTTAGCTTCAGACACCTCGGACAGCTCGAGCACTTCACCGTGTGTGTCCGGCGGTGATGGTGGTGGTGCTTGCAGGAGGGGACAGGTCACCAACCCCAGCGTCGTGATACACCAACACAACACTATATGCGTGTTGTTCACCCTAAAGAATGTTATTTAGCTTTGTATGGTTAATTTGTATGGTGATGATGGAAGTACAGACAGGGAACCAACAAACAGTCTTGGCGAATCAGTTGCAGAGTCAAGACATGAAACACACACATACACACACACACACACACACACAGGGAAGTGAGAGGAAGGGAGGGAGGGGGGGGAGTAGCGGCATGTGTTGATCCGCTCAGAGTCTGTGTTGTGTTCGGAGTAAACAGAGGTGGACCATTAGAAACCTCATCAGCAAACAGGGGGAACGGAACCCACTCGTTATTGTTGATCACTAGTCACGACCCCAGCACGAGCTCCTCCAACACGTGCTGTAGTGAAGGTATTGCTCGAGGCCAGATACACGTTGGTTTTTCATCTCTATACGTAAATATTGTTCCGTAACTGTTTGCTGAATTGCTACGTATAGATTTTCAGGTAACGTTACTTATGATGGTTATATCGGCAGGATGTTTCTCTGGATAGGCATAATTTAATACTCCTTTGCACCAGGCGGGTCTGTTTTGGTACTGGGAAGTGGCTGAGTTAACTTATGTTGGTCATCCATTCAAACATAAACTAAGTCAATCTTTTCTAGGTGTCGTGTATAGTATGAATGTACAGGTGCAAGGTAACACACACACACACACACACACACACACACACACACACACACACCCACCCCTCTCCCTCCACATACTACACACACGCACGTGCCTCCCCCTTCACATATACAGGCGCACGCTCCTCCCCTCCTTCCACACAACACGCGCGTGCACACCCCACCCAGAACGAATCCATACACTACTTGCTGCATCCATTCGTCCGCCCGTTCAGTTACCCCCAGACAGTGGCTTTTAAACTCCTCACAGGTATCAGGAATTAGGGTCTTATGTACCCTATCATAAGGCGGTATTTGGTTTAATTTGTTTAGGATAAGTTTGGTTACGTGGATTACAATTGCTTAGATTATTGCCAGATTTAATGTGGTTATTATCAGGGAAAATTTAAGTATTATTTGAGTTTCGTAATTCGTTTCAGGTCTTTAATATGAAATTTTTCGTCATGGGAGGTGGTGTTAAGGATGGCCTGATACTGACCTCCCCTACTTACTGATATAACACTTATCTTGCGCTGATTTACATGTACTTCCTGACTGATAAATTACTTGGAATATATTATGATAGGGTTTATTGGTGTTTTATGTCGGTACACTTGCACTACGTGTGGCCAGTTTATCTAAGCTTATATCAGTGTTTTTACAGTCCGTATTATGTTCATCTGTTCATTACTTAATAATTCTTCTTGGTAGCTGTATTTGTGTTCATTATATGTCTTTGTTTAAGTTATGGTGCAACCTTTTATTTTTTCTGTGCATCTACAGTAATATATATTTTATCGTTCTTTATTGCTGTACATAAGTTCTGTATGTTATTCACACGTGTTGTGATAAATATAATTGGTTCTAGTGAGGATCGTGTCGGCATGAACGAGGTGGGGTCAGTCATCTAATTCTGCACTTGTCTATACATAGTTGTGTTTGGCCGGACATGCCACGCAAGGTGAGCGGTACTCTCCCTCCCCGGAATTTCATTTCTTCCACAGGAGGTTCTTTCTGAATACTGTGCCGTGAATGTCCAATACCAAGTTTCAACCTTAATACGACATATTAAGTTTTAGGGAAATGCATCAGAGAATTATTTAACGTATTGAAGAATCACAATATTGTAGGTTTGGATTTACTTTTTTATTTTAACCGATTGACCAAGGGGTATTAATGGAGCTTTGTTGGTACTTAGTAGAGAGGCGTTCATTAGTGGTGTTACTGCTGAGGGTTTTAAATAGTGGATGGGTAACACCCACAGGATGTTTGGAGAGGATATAAGCACTGGGTCATTGTTTACTAACGTGTTCCCATAACCCAACGGGGCCTAACACAACTGAGTTACTACTAGCAGACCCACGACAAGTTCCTTCACACACACACACACACACACACACTACAAAAGAAAATAAATATTAATCCGATGTCAAGTTAAGTTTATATAAAAAAAATATTAACACCTAAGAACTATTTACATATTGACTTATAGTGTTCATAGACTTGGATGAGTTGGACTTGATACAGACTCGTTGGCTTGCGTGTGCTGGAGTGTAGATATACTTTCTGGGGAGAGCTTGAATGTAAACAGTGATGTAGGGGGAGGAAGAATCATTTAAATTAATATAACTCTTGGTAGAACTTAATCAATTTTTTGTTTTAATTATATCTTTTGTTTACAGGTGAGTGTCTCGTTGTCATCCTCCTCCTCCTCCGTCACCTCCCTGGCCTACTGGAGGAGTTTCTGGAGTGATTGTGAGTACTGTATGATTGTGGGACCATAATTCTCTTAGTGTTGTACGGAGTATTGTCAGAGTACAGACCTTCCGCTACATCACCGCCTGCAACACTGAGTAAGTCATTTACCATCAGTTATAAGAATTCAGAACTATTTATATTTGACTGTATTATTTATATAGATGTTATGTATCATTGTAGCAGTGGTTTAGTACTTGCTCTACGGTATAATGAGTGTTAGAGTGTAGTCATTATCTATCGTTAACAGTGTAGCCAAGTATACAGACCTGTGAGGGGGGTGATGGTGCCACACAGGAAGGCACAGGATACCCCCCCCCCTCCCCCCTTTACCACCAGAAGTCGAGCTAGTTATAACCTCACTGCTCGGGCGACACCACCAGTACGTCTCCGCTCTCCCTCCTAACAACCAGTCAGTCAGTCATGAACTGCCTCGTCGACCTCGGTTTATTACTAACGTGAAATTACCGAAAATATCTCTTGGTTCAGTGTTCGGCAGTGTATTTAACTCAGGTGCGAGATTTATTTGTGTTCGTGATAAAGACAACGAGAGAGTGTAGGTGACTTAAAATTTGTTGCTCTTTCTCCGAACTTGGAAGAAATGAGTCAAGTAATTCAGTGTGGGCGGTGCTGAGTCACTGTGTTGCACCACCCATCTGTACTGTTCATCCCCGTTCCTCTATATTGATAACATTTTATAATTTGGTACCAATTTGGCTTAAAATGTAATAAACAACAACTGGATGTGTGTTGTATGCTGGCGGGGTGAACCTGAGGTATAGTCACGGAGACTCCTGTGACGTAGGCTGTTATCGTAAGCCGGTGACGGAAACTTACAAAGGAAACTGATTACATAGGATGGTGACAGAGACCTTGGTGAGATGCTAAGCCGATTGAAGAAAGTGGGGGTGAGGGATGACGGTGATACTGAAGGAGAAGCAGCAGCAGTATCAGAGTCGAGGGTGAGCGCTGTGGCGGGTCACCTACAGACCCTGATCCAGGCGGTGTCGCAGCAGTACTCCAGGTGGAGCATCCACTCTAGCGGCGACCACTCTGACGATGAGAACGAACTCAGCAAGGTTGGTACATTCTTACACATGTTAAAGTGAGTGACAGGTCGCAGAACGTGGGATGTTAATTCACGTTTCTGCCATGTAGGAGAGAGAGAGAACGGGGTATTATGAACGGCCCAAAGACACAGTACTCCCGTGCATCTCCTCCAGTGGTGGACTAGTGTAGCTACAGGCCTGTGATCTTTGAGCTATATTTAAACTAGACTCCCTTATAGCATCATAGCTTAGAAAATTAACTTTACATGTGCAGTGAGAGGTAGAAATATGCCTTACATTAAAGAGTTCTATATTGTTAGTTGGTAGAAAGACTGTGGGGGGTTGGGGTGGAGGGGTTGATAGTTAGGATGTGTGAGGAATGAAGGAAGTCAAAATTAGGACAAGTTTAAAGGACCTCGTTGAGTGTAGTAGGAAAAGGTAGGATGGAGCTTGTACCTACTGACCACGACACTAACAGTAGGAAAAATAGAATGAACAAGGGTCTGTATCACCTTCTCTGTGGCTGTTACCTGACCCCATGACCCTCCTGTGAACTTAAGGATGTCACATGACCTCTTCTCCTAGACCGGTGACCTTTTACGTGACACAGTTGACCGAGGGATTACAGTATTAATACCTCTTTGTTGTTGACAGTCGAGCAGGTTCTTCATTATATTCAACACTTAATGATATATTTTGTTGTTGTTACCCGTCCTCTGTGCAGTAACTAAAATGAACCTTGATTATTATTGTATTCTGTGTAACTGCAATTTATAAAGAGAGACTGTGATCTATTTGAGAGTGATGGTGTTGAAGCTTGTTAGGGTATTGTTACCTCGGTGTGACCTAAGCAGCACTAGGGGCGTGGCACATTCTACTAGACCTGCATTTGTTTTCATTTTTGGTGCTGTACATTGCCATTGAAACACTGTCTTGGAGGTTTTCACAGAGAAGAGTTTTTTCCTAAGGGAGGGGGGTGGTGAAGCGGGTGACCGGATAAAACCCCAACGGACAAAACCCCAGTCTCATATATAAAATAAAACACTTTTATGTTTAGGTTAGGTTAGTGTTGATAAATGACAACCCCGTTGGGGTTTTGTCATGGAACCGGTGAAGCGTCATGAAATCAGTATGGTGGCTTCCGCGGCTTCCTGATAAAGAGTTTGTGACTAATCATTTGTGTTTCCTCTCTGTCCTTACCCTTTCCTGTCGCCTTGCACAATTTGCACCCTCATATCTCGCTTCTCCATCTCCCCTCTCCCCCTTTGAGGTCTCTCTCACTAGTAGCAACCGCAGACAGAAATGAGAGAGAGAGAGAGAGAGAGAGAGAGAGCAGTAGAAATAGTAGAGGAATCTGTATATGGTATAACAAGGTTGTAGGATTGTAGGTAGACACTGAGGGGTTGTATAGGCAGAGGTTAAGGGGTATTGAGAGGTTGTGAGAGAGGGGAGTTATAGAGAGCGGCACTGAGTAGGTTTCCCCTCTGTCACTCAACTGTAACCCGAGTCGAGCCAGGAGGGGAAAACTTGGGTGCGTGAGACGTAAGTCGAGAGGGAGGGGACGCAAGGGTCACCGAGGGCTTGAGGGTCGACTCGAGGTGGAGGTGGGAGACTTGTAGAGATCGGGAAGGGGTAGCCCGAGGGAGAGGAGGAGGGGGGGAGACTTGTAGAGATCGGGAAGGGGTAGCCCGAGGACGAGGGGGAGAGCACCGCGGGAGAGTGAGGGGAACTTATCCTGAACTAATTATATAACACCTGGGGGAGGGAGAGACACGCAGGTAATGGGGGTGAGGCCACGTGAGGGAGGGAATAAACACAAACTTGATCCTTTGGTCGTGAGTTGTGATGAGATAGGGTACAGTTACACCTCCATTTAACGGACTTGTCTCCATATAAGGGATCCTCGATATAACGGATTTTCTTCTTTATATAGTTCGTGAGGTACAAGTTTCACCTCTAATGGACCCTCGATATAACGAACTCTCTCCATAGACTCCGTTAAATAGAGGTTCCACTGTATATAATGTTGTAAGTTATTGTGAAAAAAAAACATAACTCGTATTTACTGTTTTCACTTAACCTTGAATATTGTGTTGTTGATGGTGGCCCTGTTGAATGGCTCTCACCTCTCTCTGCTGTGTGTGTGTGTGTGTGTGTGTGTGTGTGAGTGTGAGTGAGTGAGAATAGCTAATCATCGCAGTAATCTTTTGAGACTCAGGACTGGATGATGATGTTATTTACTCTCTTATCTGGTTCTTTGTTTGGCCACGTTTCCTGTGTTGACCGCTGCAGCCACCCGCCCCTGGCCTAGTGTTGTGACTACCTTTAGTGGCTTTATAATCTTTACTGGGACAGACTTCATAATTCCAGGTTTTGAGAGACATGACGAGTTGATGCTAAGTCTTGGCACCTGACCATTACTGCTCCTCCTCTTCCCTTTAACTGTCTTCTATCACACCTCTCATCTCCCTAGCTCTTTTAAACACCCTCCCATTTTCCTTCCTTCCTTCCCATATAATTTCTCTCTTCT